GGAGCTAGAACAAAAATTTTTTTATCATTAAATAGGGAATTGTTTATACTATATACACCACTATTCAAAACAAAAAAATTCGCACCTACGATTTTTTCAGAAAACGCCGCCTAAATGCCCACTGTGTCAAGTAAACTAATTTCTTCTCTTTCTTGGACTCATCAATAAAAAATTAAAATAAAGTCTATAACATTATTAAAATAAAGTCTATGATCCTGCATCGCATTGATATGCATTGTGTTTTCTTCTACTAATGTCAATATGTTTCGATATGCCGACTGAATTGATATTTGCAGGCAAAACCAACCAGCGTATTTCACGTTCGTGAATAGTTTTTGTATTGTATTTGTACTCATCTGTTTTTCTCTCTCTCGTTTATAGAATCATGCACCTGTAACAAATTCTGTTCCATTCTAAAGACAAACTTTTTATTACACATCATCAGCAGTATGAATCAGGTAAGTGACAGACCAACAATAAATGCGAATGTATTAAGTCTTCTCTCTCTCTCTAAACAGTACTCAGGATGTAAGTAGCTGTTGTGAAAACGGAAATAGAGAAATTTTTATATTGAAGAAATTTCATGTAATTACAGAACTGCTTGAATTGAAATATCTTTCAGACGTATTAACACAGTGAAGTGCATCAGCAGTTGTTATAAAGGACAGCTTTTATGTAAAGCGACACGTATTAAACATAATAAACTCAAAGTTTTAGTCAAAAAATCGAAAATTTTTCGATCTACTTTATTGAGGCTCTATCAGATCCTCACACAGAAATGTGTTCGATAACAGAGTATCTTAACTTTAAACAGCTTATACGGATTCTCGAAAGGAATTGTATAAAGTAGTTGAAGTGTCTTGCCATTCTGTATTATCTCCGTAGGTAAACCATAGAAAACCTCGAAAATACACACTGATTTACTCACATGTTCTCATCAATCAGCTGAGTTAAACTGAATTTAACTCAGTTCTCTTTAAAATGTTCTCAACCAGTTTTTCAGAAACTCTAAAAAATACCTAAACCTTTCTTAGCGAGGCATATGCCATCGTAATCAGCTCGTCGAGCTCTACAAATTAGGATATGTCTCCACTGAAAAGTAAGAGTAACACTTGGGTATCTTCCCTCGATGGTATAGGTTTTATCAAGAACAGTTAAAAAGACTCTGAAGTCATCTTCATTCGTTCGGCTTTTTTTATCAATGTAACATTTTGATATATGTTGAAATGTTTTTTCTGTTTAAGTAAGATTTCGCGAGTCTAATAATATTCTATATATACTATTTCACTATCGATTGTTCAGCCAAAATAATTGCAACGGAATCTCATTTTTTCCGCTTCTGACTGTAATTTCTCAGTCAGTTTAAAAGATAGGATGCTTAAATTCTTACAAAATCTGTCTAATCACGTGCTTGACAATCTCTAAAATTTTGGTTAAATTTGAATGCATGGTTCGAGTTTTATAAGAAAAATATCGATCGTTACGCAATCATCAAAAATGAAATAGTCATTTCGAACAAAACTCAGCTAATCTCCATTCTTCACGTGATAACTTTTGCTGGCAATGTTGTAGAAAGATCTATGCGCTATCAATTGAAAAAAAGCTTTTTATAGCTCCAAAATTAACGCTTAAATAGCTAAAATATCATTTTACAGAATCACGTTTTTATTACGAAATGACGCATTTTACCAATAAATATGTTTCGCAATTCGATTTTTTTCCTGGAGAATGAGCTTGTTGTTACAAACAACAAGCGTTTTTCAAAACTTAGACACAAAAGGTGACCGTTACGTGGAATAGCCCTGTTAGAACTCCAGATAGGATTCTAGGCATTTTACACTAAATTTTAAACAGTTACAACAATTCATACTTAAAATTTATCGAACATTTGGATATTGTTATTTAATCATTCATTAAAAAAATTTTGCAATATATATGCGATAGACGGCTTGTACGTAAGTAAATACTGAAATACGAATGAAAAGGTATTAAATACACATGAATGAGTCATTCAGTATAGATGATTTATTTTGTCTCGAAAATGGAATGAAACGTTCCTATTATGTCCAATCGTCCTCATAAGTGCAACATACTGTCTATACTTTTTTTTTATTTTATTTTGAGGGTCGAATTAGACAGGAAATTTTCATACTGTTCTATTATTAGCGTGAATATAAAGTTTGTAGCACTTCTACAACAAGTTCATTGGGACTGTCGAGTTTCTAATTTCGATTCTCTCGTTTTTCTTAGTAGTAGCATTAATTTAGTTAGTAAAATTTTGTGCTCGATCGAGTACAACATTAAAACGTAAGTTGGTTTTGGGCAATCTTGTTATTTGTTTTTTCCTTCTTTGGTGAGTCACTGCATGTTTTGAGTCATTTGAAAGACAAAGAGAGTAACATCGACTTTTTATACATTCATAGATATAGTGAAAGTGAACAATTCTATAATATACACATTGTTGTTCTATTTTCTGTTTTCTTATTTTCTTCTCCATTTTTGGTTTTATTAGCTCTACAAAGACAAAAAAGAGTTCACTTTTATCCAAAACATTGACCAGACAAAAGAGAACAGACAAGAATACGAAATAATAGAGAAACATAGAGCATAGATGGCTGAGTAATACTTGAAGTAATTTAATATGACTAACGGTGTTGCTAATTCAACTCAAGTATGTCTATTGGAAAATCAGATAAGATGTAAGAGCACGGTTATACATATTGCGAAGATATTTTTTTTATGCTTTAATCGGGTATAGTAGGTCAGTGAGAAGAAATGAAATATTCAAAATTGATACCAGCAAAATTGAATAAAAATTGCCGAAATTTAGAAACCAGCTGTTTTGAAAGTAAGTATAATACTCGTCAACTAAATAAACCTATTAGATTTTTTTTAATGGTAACAGTCTCATTGAAGATGAGTTTATTGTATTTTTCAGAAAAGTGAATTGTGATTCATTGTTGAATGTTTAAATGGAAAATAATGAAACTTTTGTTAACTCGTCTATCGTTCACACTGAAACCTGATCTTTCATGTTTTGCTCTCGTTTTCGTTTAAAAAATTTCCTCAAGTTTATTAATAACGCGTTTTAACAGTTTAAATGTGTTTTTAGTCTCACGCGTTCCAGTAAGACTGTCACTATTAATAAAAAGTCAATGAGAAGAATTAATAAACCATTACTAACAAGACAAAATCTAGAATATTATTCAGATTTTACTCATCTATACTTTTTTACTAATCGGTTACCGTACGTTATATATTTATTCTCTTGGTTATCGCCAGTCCCCAGACTATATCATCAGTTGGCATGAATCAAATAAGGTTTATTTCTTTTTGAAGGTATGATACTGAAATATACAAAAACAAAATCAGACGATACCATATATACACACGCACTCACACAAGATAGATTATATATATGATCTAACATAAATAAAATAGAAACAAAGAACAAAATTTTTTCTTTCTTGTTAACAACATTCTTTATCATGATCTAATTTCTTTCTTTTTCAGACTAATTTCTCTTTCTCTTAGATAAATCACTATTTTATATTACTCACTCTTTTTCTTCTTGTTTTATATTAGCTACACGTATACTTGTTCAAAACTATCTCATTTCACCTCATTGTCATCATCAACAACATATTCACTTTATTCTAACGTAAATATGAAAACTGTCTCATCAAAAATAATTAAAAAATCTTCGAATCATCGACGGGCATTAAGCGAAAGTGAACGTTATGCAGAAGAACCAGTACTAATAACATGTCAAAATAATCAACAATCACGAAAACGACAGTTAAGCGATATTAATGACCAAACACTTGTCACTAAATATGTTAAAGGGAAAAATAGTTGGTCAAAATCAGTAACAACATCTGAGAGTTCAGTAAACGAAACAATTAATAAAAGCAAAACGGGTAAATTGGTTTGATATAGTTACAAAGTTGAAAATGAGAGATGACTAACAAATCTAAGCCGGTTTTTGTATGTTATATGAGAAAAAATTTTCCCAAATCGATATGCAGAAAGGTTTAGTTTGTACGATTTTATTAACTAACGTCTTCTTCTTTTTAAAGGTAATTTATCCTGCAGTCTAACACAATTGTCTTGTCCAATACCGATATTTCTTTCTAATTTTGATAAAGCTTCAACATCAGATAATTGTACTAATAAAAGTTTGATATTCAGTCCATATGCATCGTTGCCTGAGTTATCATTTTCGAGTCATCAACAACAAAAACGAATTCGTCCATATACATTAATATTAACACCAAATTCAAATTTATCTGTAACGTCATCATTCGATGTGAGTTCGATTGTACAAGATAAAATTAATCTTTTAACATCGAAACAATTGGCAGATTATGTGAAAGATGATTTGAGAAAATTACACTATTTAATCTTCGATTGTAGATTACCTTTCCGTTATCATGAAAATCATGTTAAAAATTCTATTTTATTCCATGTTGATGATAAAATATCGCGACAACACTTATCTACACGTGGTATAACAACATTTTTAAATACGAAAATAATTGATCAATGTGAAGTTATTATCTTATATGATGATACTACATATGTAGTTGATGATGACACATCTAATTCATGTTCAAATCTGAAAGATCAAAAATATTTATTTACACAATGTAATGATAAATTTACTTCTTCAATTCCACTACATCAGTTAGCACCATCAATGAAATGTGTCTATGAAAATATAAAATACTACAATAATAAAAAACTTATTTATATACTAAATGTATCGTTTAATAAATTTCATGAACAATATAAGTCTTTATGTGAATGCTCTTCTTCTGATGAACGGAGACCACGTTCTTTACCATCATCACCAACAAAAAATAATTATTGCGAACAAATCGTTATACCATTAACAGCCCCATTATCAGCAAATGTGAATAGTTTTCCAATGACAAAAATTTTAAATGGTTTATATATTGGAAATGAACAAAATGCAGCAGATACTCAATTATTAAGCGATGAACAAATTACACATATTGTCAATGTTACTCAACATTTACCGTGTTATTCATCTGAATTAAATTATTATCATTTACCAGTTGATGATTCAAATAAACAAAACTTAATAGATTATTTTGATAAAGCCTACATGTTCATACTAAATGCAATTGAAAATAACAAAAAAGTTCTCGTTCATTGTCAAGCAGGAATATCACGATCACCGGCAATTGTTATTGGATTTCTAATGAAATATTTGAACATGTGTATGAACGATGCATATGATTTAGTTAAACAAAAACGTTCGATTATTTCACCTAATTTTGGATTTTTAGGACAATTACTTGAGTATGAGAAAAAATTAAAACAATATCAGATAAACAATGCAGCTTCAATTTAATACATTGCCTATTTTTAACGTGAAGTTTTGCTTCAACCAATTCTTCTGAATGCTTTATTGTCTAATGAATTCTGTACATTATTTGTTCTTGTTTTTAATTATTTTTGCTCTATATCGTTCTTTTTTGTTGCCTTCATTTTGACTCTAAAATAGTAATGTGTTCTCGATTTATAAAGAAACGTAGAATTCAGTGAAGAAACATAGAATATTTATATTAGTATTTCCTCACTGGTCTCTCTGTATACAGTCAGGAATGGACTCGTCTATGACTAGACTTGTAGTCCTACTCTGGCTGCCTGAGATCACTCCTCTATATGAAAATATCAGATGAACAATACTCATGAGTATTTTGTCAAAAGTTATGTGAGAATACTCAACAATACCCAAGCACGAGTACTCAAAGTCGTACTCACAGTACTCGTTACTCACTCATGAGTACTCATGTGAGTACTCAATGAGTAAAAAAATGTGTAAGTACTCATGAGTACTCGGGACATTTTTCAGCAGAGTACAACTTTGAGTACTCACACTTGGGTACATTCACTAGGGCAGACAATTGCACTAGTGTTGAGATTCTCAAATAATCAGTTAATATCAAAGATTATTGAGAAATGACTTTTTTTTTGTAGCAGAAACTCAGGATTTCAGGAAATCAGCGATTTGGAAATTCAGACACTCAGAAAAACAAGAAATCCATAAACTCGAGTAATCCAGAGCGTCTGCCGATGTCAAAACTGATGTTTTGTGTGATTATATTTTTTTTCTTTAGGATATAGTGTTCTATTTTTTAGTAACATTTTGAGTTTTCTAACCTTGTTGACTCTGAAAACTAATGCTTCGACCATAATCGATCGTAAACTGTGGAACATAACTAATGAATAAAAATAATAGTAAGTCAAAAAGCTGCTCCATTGCATAGTTACTTTAAGTAATATCTAAAACTTTCCGAATCCTTACCCGAAAAACAGGTATTATCCAAAATTCTTAAGAGTAACTCGATATTTGAAACTCTCAGGATTAGTACAATGCCTTTATCATATGATCAAGTTGATAACATTTTTAGGGAATAACATTAAATCTTGAAAACAAGCATCACACAATGCTTGTCGTATTTTCTCTTTTGAACGTACATTGTATTTGGAATGTAGATCTATTCATCGTTCTTGCAGTCAGGCAGAATCAAAACAAAAAATATGTCAGCTGATGTGGATGTCAAAATATTATGTGATACATATAATGCTTTGAAACGTTCTGTGTTCGACACTACGCTTTGTTAAACCGAATTGTCGATCGAGCAGTACAGCAGTGTGTACAGTAGCAGAGTATCAGGTGAATAATGATCATCATACATTATTATTACAAGCACTTGAAAAAGCTCCGTTTTCATTTGAGATACAATCAATGAATAGAACACATAGGATACGTTTGTAACAAGACTCAATACTTAAACGGCTCCGAATTAACACTCTTTCTCATTTGTGTTATACTCATTTTCAGTTTTAAATCGCTGGCAACCAATAATTCATTTTCTCAATAGATCTTGGATCTGACGATGTTCTCAATCATTAAATTCACGAATGATGCCAGTTATTGAATGTGTACGACTAAGAACTCTCGACTCATGCACTTTTAAAGATTCATCAGCGCAAAACTCTGAGAACATCACAACAAACAGCATTGATATCGATGATGCGGTTGATGTGCGTGATCCGACCTCATCGGTGGTGTGCTATCATACGATTTATAATGATGATGTAAACGTCTTCGCTTTTCTTTCTATGTCGATGACAGACGACGTTGATTGTGCGCTGGATGAACATCCAAAATGAGTTCGTCTACTTGTCTAGCATATTTTTGATAATCTTCGTTCTGCATACAATCAGGCAATTTCCTCAATTCTTCTATTTTATAGCGCCCCCCCCCTCTCCGGGTCAGGAATGTCGATTTTCGTCCAAAATATCGATTTTTAGAAAACACATGGTCGGATAGCCCAAAGTGTCTGCTTTCTAATAGCATAATTTTTGTATCGACAGGATAGATTTTTCATGGTTTTTGAGCAAGTTTTTCAGAACTCTAGTGGGTTGTTTATTTTTCTTGATTTGTAGATAACACTTATAGCTAGGACTTGAAGAGTCCAATTTTTAAATTATTCTTCCATTTTTTATAGAAATGAGGATTTCTAAGAAACCTTACAAAGATTTTTCTGATTTTAAAGTTCTATTAAGCACCTGAAATCAGTAAATGAGAAATTCAAAAACCGGGCTCTGTCAACCCATAGCCATAGGTATTTACTGCAAAACAAAAGCTCTCTATCATTTACCTGGAACGACAATCCTTGCACATGGTAGACGCCTATTTTTCGCTCTAGCTGCGGTGCCCTCTCATGAATGGTTGCAAGTGGCCCATTAAAACAATTTCATTACCATACTTTTACATGATTAACATTCCCTGAATGTTTGGTCCAGATCAAACCTATCTGGGCTGAGATAGGTTTCTGACCCGTAGGGGTTGCATTATCGACTTTTCAATACGGTTTTCAAAATCGACTTTTTATACGGAAGTTTTCAAGCATTGACTTAATGTTTTTCGAGATCAGAATCCTTCAAAACGTTGGTCACCAACAGGGCGTCTTATTCAAATGAGGAATAAAAGTGAAATTTTTTCTTACGTATTTTTGCATTGCCTGAATTCGTTATGGCGCCACACCAAGATTTTTTGCGCAAAAATTTCACTTCTTTATTCCTCATTTGAATAAGACGCCCTTTTGGTGACCAACGTTTTGAGGGATTCTGATCTCGAAAAATATTAAGTCGATGCTTTAAAACCTCCGTATAAAAGGTCGCTTTTGCAATAATGCAAACATAGTTCTAACTAATTCCGATTCGAGACTTTTTATTGTAGTATAATCGCTAACTAGAGAGCTTAGAAAAGAAACACAATTTCGTGTTGAAGGAATTGAATTAAGATAAGTCAGTCTTTTTCTCTTTTTTCTTTTTTTCGTCCAAACACATAACAGTTTTGAAAGAAAACAAAGAACGTTTCACCTGTTTACAAACAAAATAAATAGAAATAATGAAGTGCGCAACTAAAAGTTTACACGTTATACTTAAACATCACGCAACGTTGGTATTATCTCACTATTTAGCTTTAAAGAATTGTATTGTTGATATAATAAGGTTTTCCGTTGTCTGGCCGGTACCGGGGGGACTGTTGTCTATCTAACTAGCAATACAACAATGAGCAACTGACAATTTGTAATCATAACTCGATACCAGTGTCGAATCAATTCGTCAATCAGTATAGAATGGAGGCAAAGAGTTTAACAAAATCTTTCTCATAAATCATTAAATAGTAGCTTTAATAAATCTCAGGGTAGATTCATATAGCACTAACTTTGATCCGTACATGTGCCTTATCAAAAAAATAGTTTCCAACTGGGAGGAGGACTTTCCATAGATGTAACCGGTCGAAAATTTTCTGAAAAGTCTAACGACAGAGGAGTGTTAAGGCTTCTGGAAAAACGTCCATAGCTCCCGAACCATGGATTTCCAAGATGTCCGTTAGATCCAGTTTTGTAGAGGGCACTTCGGACTATATATGTATGAAAACAAATCTACAGACTACAGAGTTCTATGTCAGCTCTCAGAGAACCGAACTGGTTTTCCACAGTTCTCCCGAAAAAATGATCTTTGAAATTTTTCCAAACTCGTTTTTGCTTATGAAAAATCTATCCTGTCGATACAAAAATTATGCTATTAGAAAGCAGACACTTTGGG